AATTAACATACAAAAATATTACATTAATAATTGAATTTCTAAGACTGCTGGATATAAGGTGAGCATTCAAAAATCAATTGTATTTCTTTATACCAGTAGCAAACACATACTTAGGAATGCTCATACACCACTCTTGGGAGTGTAGGTTGTGCATCGCCTTGGAACCCTGGCAGCGTTCGCTAAAGCTAAGCAGACTCTTATCCTATGGCCAAGCAGTTACTCTTCTAGGTATATATCCAACAAGAGCATGTGCATGTGTGCGCCAAGACTCACATGCAGAAATGTTCGTGGCTGCATTATTTGAAAGAGCAAGTAACTAGAAACAGCCCAAATGTCCATCAACAGTAGAATGAGTCGATAAATTGTGGCTTATTCACATAGTGGATATGACACACCAACCAAACTAAGTATACACGACATGAGAATGGATGAATCTCACAAACATAAAGGAGCCCAATCACAAAAGAATACATACTGGGTGGTTCTATTTATATAAAACTCCCCAAACAGGCAAAATTCTATGTTGCTAGAATCAGCATACTGGTTACCTTTGAAGAGATAGAAGAGAATACTAGAGGGACTTCACAGGTGCTAGTAATGTTCTGTTTCTTGACTGAGCTGGACATTTATGACTTGTGTATTTCTCTGTATTTATGTTATACTTACATCATAAGAAGCTTAAAAATATGTCCAAGCTTATCATGTGTTGAATTTTTATATATCATTGCTTAAGCTTAAAAGTGGTAGCACATGATTGTTTTAAATGAGATTGAAGCAGGTTTCTTAGAATGTACACCTGCTTCAGCATGTATATCTGGATGTATATCCCGTCTCAAAAAAAAAGAGAGACCCCCACCCAGTCTCCTTTTTTTTGGCTCAATATCTTTCTTGTATTCTTACTTGTCATTGACTTACAGAATTATATTCTCAGCAAACAAAATAGTACAGTATACACTGTGGCTTTCCTGTATTTAAATGTAGTTATTTCTCTCATAGAACTTTTAAGATCTTGGAAAGAATTAAGCTTAGAACTGTGTGTATAAATATGATCCCAATTTCTCTGTCAGCATCTCTGTACATGTAGAAAAAAATTGAAGGATATCAGCTATAAGCAAACTTTTTTTCTGAGAAGGGGATAGACTTTCATTTCTACCTTTGCACTTTTAATATTTGAATTTTTTACAATGAGCCTGGATCACTTTTTTTTTTAGCTTAAAAACATACAGTTTTAAAGCACTTAAGTTAAAAGACAGATTTTAGTTATTTAAGTATTTTATTTCCTGGAACTAGAAAGGCCTCAGCCATATTTTCCTCTTATGCTTACTTATTAAAAATGTATAAAACTGATCAGTTAAATATTGTCAAAAAACTTCAATAGTGTATATCTTTTAAGTTCCTATTTAATATAATCACTTAGATAAGACATAAAACTTTGTTATGTGTTTTTTCTTTTTCCATTGTAAGCAATATTACTTTTATAATAAAGAGTATTTAAGGTAGGCAAATCTTTATTATTTCAGTCTTTGCTTACAAGGTTAATATATTGTGGTTTTAAAGGATTTTCTCCACAATATTTATTGTTCTTTTGTTCCAACTTGGAAGGAAAAAGCCAGAGTAGAAGCTATATAAAGTTATTTTGTGAGATGGCTATTTTTCTGATGGTATTATTCAAAGTTGCTAAAAATACACACAATAGATCTTGAGGAAAATGCAAACTGCTAGAATATGGTTCTTTTAGTAGTACATTTTTCTTTGCAAAGTCAAGGCCTTTCACTCATGCATATGCTCCCACGGGTGCGTTCACCTCCCTCCGTTTCCTCCCCAAATTTCCTAATTGCATTTTTAGATTGTGTAATTGTATTTGTCCTTTGTATAGGTAAATATACAAACTATTTTAAAATAACTTTCTTTTGGTAGCTGATTAGTTTTATTCACTGCAATTGGATGGTGATAAGAGGTCACAGGTCTTGTAACTATCTCTGGAAATTAGGAAATTAAACCATGCCCTTTTGACTAGAATCATCAACTTGGAATTAGTTTAGCTTTCACCCTCCTCCATCCTTCTGCAAAGTGTTCTGAAGAAGTTAGCTTAAGTGAATAAAATCTGAAAATTTGAGGTTTATTTTTCTTTAAAAATATAAACGGAGTGTTAGTATTTTTCAGACAATTAAGAGCTAAAATCTGAGGGCTTTGGTTGTAGTTCTTTTGCTGCTGATTAGGTATTCCTCAGTGGTGATTAGTGAATGTACAAATGCAATCATTCAGTAGGGCTTAATCACTCCTATGAGAGAGAAGTTAGTTACCCAGAAAGAGAAATTGAAGCTTGTATAACTTCCATTAGTCTTATTTTTTAATAGCAAAAAAATAAAGAAAAAATTTTGGCTAAATTAGGAATATTGGGTCATAGAAGATAAAGTGTGAAGAAAAAATTTTGGCTAAATTAGGAATATTGGGTCATAGAAGATAAAGTGTGGTTTAAAAGAAATAGAGAGCCTGGGTAAATATGCTTACATGAATATATTGCTGTGCTATTTATTATATTGTCTGTGGTACAGCTAGCTTATGAAAAACTGGCCCTTACCACAGCAGGACAGACTTCCCTCAGAGAGATAGAGTGTGAAGTGCTAGCTAAAAAAGTCCATCTCCTCTTTGTACTGGGTGGCTGGGCAAGGGGGAGGAGGTACCTCTTTTCCCAATTTTAGTACATTACTCAAAGTTGAGAAGAAGAGAGATATATGGCTATACCCTTTTTTCAAAAAACAGATCATTTGAGGCAAGAGGAGAGTGGAATGCATGTATTTAGGCAGCACCATATTCCTTTCTGGTGAGATGGGTTACAGGCCCCGAGTCCCAAGAGTGAGGCCTGGGGAGTGGGTATGAGTCACTTGGAATGATGAGCTGTGGAGGTCTCTATGGGGAGGCCCACCAGCTGCTCAGGTCTAGCACTGTAGTGTGGCATGACTTTGTTAAGTTCAGGGGTTGTTTGTCACAGGTAGTGTTCAAGGGTTGTGTTTTGTAGACTTCCCCAGAGGACCAGCTTCTTCTTGGGGATTATTTTATTTTATTTTTTAAAAGATCTTACTTATTTATTTGAGAGAGAGAATGAGTGAGAGAGAGAGAGAGCTTGAGAGCGAGCACGAGTTGGGGGAGTATTTTATTTCCTGGAACTAGAAAGGAAGCAGACTCCCTGCTGAGCAGGGAGCCCAACGCAAGACTCGATCCCAGGACCCTGGGATCAAAATACTCCAGCCTTCCAGCCCTGATTTCTGGGTTATTCCTAAGGTGATCCACTGTCCCAGTTTGCCCAGGACTGTCCTGATGTGAGCACCAAAAGTCCTGCAACCGGGGAAACCCCTCAGTCCCAGGGCGATGGTTGATCGCCCTATTTTACTTTCTTGAGCCACTTGGCAGCTGAAGCATGGAAGAAGGGAAGTGTATTCTCCCTGCCACTGTGTACAGTCTCTTCCCTGCAGTGCAGAGGATAAACAGCCCTCAGCTCTTGGGTAGCAGTTCAACCCAGGATGCAGTTTTCGAGCAGAAGAATGTAGCTACATTTCAAGTGTGCCCCGATATGACTGTTCCGATTATCTATTGCTGCATAACAAATGACTGAAAAAATTAGAGGCTTAAAACAACATTGCTTCATTCTCTCTCCCTGTTTTCTGTGGGTCAGGGATTTGAGAAAGCCTTAGCCGGCAATTCTGGCTCCCTTAGTACCATAGTGGCAACAACTGGAACAGCTGGGGCCTGGTGAGACCTCTGTCTTCATGTCATCTCAGGGCCCCTCCAGGCCGTGTCTCTGTCTGGGTTGCTTTAAGCTCCTCCAGGCAGTTTGATGCTCACCTAGCAGTTCAGGGTTCCAGAGCAAGTGTTCTAGCTAGGGAGTAAGAAGCTGCCTTGGCTGTGTCACATAGGATACTGTTGCATAGCATCATCTTGTCCTAGTCACAAGATTCAGGGGAGGGGGAACATAGACCCCACTTCCCGATGGATGGAATATCAACATCATAACATGTTGGCGTGGGGAGATTATTGCAGCCATCTTTGGAAAATACAGTTTGCCACAATTACCTTGGCCCAAAAAAGCAGTTTTTCACTAATAAAGGTAATGAAGTTGTTAAAATACAATTTTCTCCTCATGAATTTTCATAAAGCAATTTTCATTTAGGTTGAAAACAAAAAGATCAGCCTGTAAATGTTTCTTGAATTGTTCTGAAAACCCTTGCTCACCATTGTTCTACTGGAATGAATATGTGTCTATAATATATAATATATATACCCCCCCTTACCCCTAAAAAGAAAGCCAGCTGACCAAGATAGGTGTAGCAAAAGTTCATAAGCTTCTACAGGAGGAGTTTCAGTGTGTGTGGTGTGAGCACATGTGCGGGGGGGGGGGGGGAGGAGGGGGATGGAAAGGAAAGAGTAATTGGGAGAATAGAAGGACATCAGTGGCATAGGATTCAGGCTGAAGGGAGGTGTCTGCAGCAGGAAAGAACGCTAAAGACATTGATGGCTGGAAAGGGGACTATAAGGGACAAGGGCAGTGGCGGTCATTTACAAATGAAGGGCAGGTATACATATAGCGTAGCTTTAGTAAGAGCATTTGGTTTAAAATGTGGATACTAATGTTCTGGCCTAGCTCTCTCCCATTGTGATGCTGAAGACCCACGAGTTATTCTTTCTGATAGCTTCTTACTTAATGGTTAACAGAAATTGGGATTTAAAAAATTTTTAATGTAATGCACATTATGTAGGAATTTGCTGATTAGCATTGTTTTAGCAAAGTGTCAGAAAGGCATGCTGCTAATCTTCTTTGAACTGAATTCTTTGGGCTTGATATATATTTAATGTTCAACTTTTATGATTCTTACGTGACTACTCTTGTTTTGTCCTAAACTCATTATTTTACTAAAGAAAAATTTCAAAGATTAAAGAAAGAAAAAGGATAGCAGACAGATCATAATTCTAAGCCACCACTTGTTTGTGTGTTTGGATTGCAGAAATACTGTAGTACGGTCCAGCTAGATTCTGGGATTGACTACCGGAAAAGGGAACTTCCTGCTGCAGGAAAACTCTACTATCTGTAAGTTTTTCTTTTTTTTAATTTAATTTTCTAAGTTTAATATCAAATAATCAGGAAAAGAGAAAAATAAGCAGGGTAATTATTAGAGCAGGAAAGGCTAGTTCTGAAGCCTGTGATTTTTAGAATACAAAATGTTATAATGTTAACTTCTTTAAACTGTGTTTTTTGCCATCCACATTTGCATGATTTATAATGTGTGATTGGATGAAACCCTAATTAGTTTTTTGGGGAGGAGTGATGACAGATGGTTAGAAAGTAATGAGATCCTCTTATGAGACTCTAGGATTAAGAGAATATCTTTATTGTGTGAAAGTAATTAATTATTTGTGGACATCTCCTGACAAATGTGCCATTTCTGTTCCCCAAAAATTGTTGTTTTATTTTGTTAGACTGTATTTATCATTGCTGATTGACTTCCATACATAACCATGTAAAATATATATACACAAGTACAACTGGATATATTTTATCTTTTAAAAACAAAGACTCTCCTGAGTAGGAGCCATTTCTAATAATAGATGTATTCAGCCCGTGCAGTTAATGCTGAAAAACAAATAGTTGTTTTTAAAATGTCATTTGTGCGAACCTGAAAAGGGACAAGTGCTTTACAAATGTAAACTGCTGTTTAGCATACGCCACCAGCGTTGGGCACATAGTGGGTTCTCAATAAATAGATCTAAGGGCTAATTGTGATTTAACTCAAAGGCGTGTTTCTGCTAATTTAAATTTTGATAACGTGTGTATGAGAGGTTCAGAAAAGTTCTTGTCTCTGCCACCTTGTAAGCAGAAGTACTTTACTGTTTTTGAAGCAGAAATTAGCTAGAAAAATCACATAATTAAAATTGCATGCTTTACAATGTACCAAGGGGGACTATTTCAGTTTATTATTCAGATTCTGATGATTATTATAGAAGGTTCTTCATGTGCCCTTAAGTACTTTGTCTTTAAAGTACTTTCTTATAGCACTTCTTTCTGCTTTAGCTTGGACTTTTTCCCTTCTGTTTCTTTTATGTTTGTGTTTTCTGGTTTTTATATTTTTCTGGTATTTGCAATCTTTTCCCGATTCTTTGCTACCAATTTCGTGATATTCCAGATGTGTGGTACCTAGAAATTAGCTTCTTATTATTCTCTGCATTCTTTTTCAAAGGGGGCAATTCTTGTTCCCTGTTTTCCCACAAAATGTATCCTTATGTGGAAGAATTAAAACATTTTCCTAATGGGAAGTTCCTTCAGTCGGATGGTAGTCTGGATCTAAATCATGAAATTTGTTTCATACTGCTAGAGAGGTCTCAGTAGAATTTACAGGTCGTGGAAAGCTGCTTTTGTTGGGAGGATAGCCATTTTCTCTCTGACCTGAGGCTGCCTCTTCCTTTTCCTGCTTGAAGTACAATTTTAACACAATGAAATTCAGGTTTGTACTTAAAATATGCACTGGAGGAAAACAATATCTAACAACAACCCAGAGTCCAGGAATGAAACTTTGGATCAACTTTCTTAAAAATATATAAATTCATTTAATCCTCAAGGAAGGTAGATTTTGTTCCTGTATTTAACATCAAAAAGGGCTTCACTATAATCTGATAACCCAAACTAGAGAACCTAAAGGCACACCTCACTCAAAGGGTAAGGCAGATATGTGTCCCTGAGGAGAATCAGGAATTAAAATCCTCTCGGGAGTGGGAGAATAATATTAGATACAGAGACACGGTGCTAGGGATGTAATTTATATTGTTTCACATGAGCCCTTAGCGAGAACTTCTTTCATGACAAAGAAAATTTCCTAGGGTCATGTTAACATTTCTGATTTAATTAGGTTTCTTTTGCCCTTGTTCTTTTAGGGAAACTTACTAATTTCCCCCATAACAGATTTTAATGTACCATGTTATATATTGCCCTATTACAGCATGTGTTTCTCTTTATTACCCTATGCCTAAACATCTGGCATTCGTTCCTGAACATACAAGTTCAGACTCCCCCTTTGTCAATCTCATTGGCCCCCTCAGCTACCTGAAAAGAAAAACAAAATTCTAGCCTCCCTCCAGGGGAACATGAAGCAATATCTCAGGATTTCATACAAGCAGAATCCTACATCTGATCTTTAATGAAATAGAAATATTCATTAATTCAGTGTTTTATTAGTCTAACTTTCCAAAAGCTAATTCAAAATGTCCCAAAACATAATCCAAATAATATCAAGAATTATCAGAGATTTTTAAAAGTACCCAAAAAGTTGACTCGGGAACACTTTCTATGGTTCTTAATATCGTCCAGGTAACACAAGAAGTAATTGGTATACGACATTATGTGTTTGTATGTAATCTATTTCAGTTGTAGTTTTACATCATAATAGATATAGAAATCTTACAGTACCTTTATAAATAAGTTCCAGATGTTTTGGGCCCATCCAACGACGTTTTTAATCTCATATAAAACAAACTCTGAAACTTTAAATTTAGCAAGTTACAAATGACAGAAAGCTTGAGCCCAGACATCTGAACTTTTGCAGAAATTAAAACACCCCATGGTTGTCCAATTTTTCATTCTGTGGTAACTGCATGGTCACCCCAGATATGAGCACGAAGTCATTCTCTTCCTTGTCGCTTGGTGGATTGGACTCCATAGGAATCCCATGTGGGGAATATGATTTGCCGAAATCCAAACAGGTCAACTAAGCATTGGGCTTCCTGTTTGTATTTGGGTGTATTTGGTGTATTTGGACTTGTAATTTTTTTAACTGCCTGGTGTTTGCCAAGGGTGGCCCTATCCCATACTTTCCAGAGAATTTCACTGCTTCCAATTAGTTCTCTGCTTGGGAGCTGGTGACAGTGGAGGTTATCATTTTATATATGCAATGAGGTCTCTTTTCAGACAGGCAACACCTTGTTCTTCTTCACCTTGTTCAGACGCTCCCTTGTTCTTTTCTCTTTTTCTTTTTCATTCAGGAACTGAGTAGTACAGGTTCTTTTTCTAAGTCTGTTGAAGGAACCAGGGGTTGGGGGTGGGGAGAGGGTTCCTATTCAAATACCATATCTTCATGCTCACATAAAAACACCCCACCCATAGCAGAGAGGTCATGGCCTCAATGGAAGACTTTAAACTGAACCAGAAGGGATGGGCAGGGAAGGTATTGGGCCTGGGATTTGATTTTACCCAGCTTACCAGCTAATAGGTTTGCCTGTTACTGTTTCATGGATGCTGGCAGAAGACACGAGAGATCTGGGTCAGAGACAAAGGATTTTATGACCCTTGGTGTAGAGAGCATATTGTGTCTGTGCCCTTCTTGCCCTGTGGTCCCATTGTGGGGGGCACAGAGAGTTTTGCCAAGGGCTCAGATGAATACCTGCATAGGCAGTGAGTTGTATTATAGCACAGGAACTCTGAGCTTGGGAAATCTACACCATTTTATAGCCAGAAGTATGCAGGCCTGTTTTTTGTTTCAAGGGAGACATTGCCTCATCCCTCAAGGTTTCTCGTGCCAAACACAACCTTGAGAAATGGTTAGGGCCATGTATTCCTGGCATGCTCAGCAAGATGTGCAGAAGAGTGAGAGACCCATGGAGGACTGTTCTCCCAATAGGGACATTGACCAGACTTTTAACCTTAAAGAAGCTGGGCTTTCTCCCTTTATTTCTTTTGGCTCCTATCCACTGAGTCATCTATTACTTCTACCAAATTATATCTGAACCTGTTATTCAGTTTTTTAATATTTCAGTTAAATTGTCTAAAGATCATTTCACTTTCATGTATATGGGGACTATTGATCATACTGAAATGATGAAAAATATGTTACAACTTTCAGACAAAGCCCAAATATTCACATATTTTTACCTGGTTTAATACAGTACATATAGTCATCTATCTTTCTAGCCAATCTCAAAAAGAAGTTTCTTCTTACTTTTACCAGTAGAAGTTTCATGTCTCAAGTACTACTAATCTCCCACTTGGGAGATATCTATTCCATATAGAAAATAATTTTTGAGAATATATCTTCAAAAATTAAAAGAAAAGGTGGCTGGCAAAAACCATACAGCTCTGTTTTAGAAGAAAGGTCTGTGAAAACAAAGACTGGAGCTCAAACATGTTAAAACATCCCCACAATTAAAAACTTCGTGTTTCTTGTCTATGAGAGTCCCTATACACACTCCTCTTCCCTCAACTGAGAGAATCAGATCAATGAAAATTTAAAACATTTCTTAGCTCATTTGTCACATCTTTTCATACCTAAAACATTGGCAGAGTTCTGTCTTCTGCCTGGAAGGTTGCCACCTTCTAGTTCACCAGAGTCTCTAGGACATCTTGGGACCTTCTCCCCATCCCCCATCTTTACCATTCCAGGTGTTTCTGTCTTAGACATTGGAATTTACAGTGTCTTAGTTTTTCTTACCAGTTAGAGTGCCAACCCAGTCAGTCATTTCCTGTTCCAGTTCCCACTGAAGAACTTCTGAAACATCTGCCAATAGAAGCAACTTGAAAATTGTTAAGTCTAGTTCCTTTCCTTTTAGACCATAATTTGTTTTAGTTCCATGTTCCTGACCATCCAGAGAACTGTAGCAGGCTGTGTGCATACCCCATTGAAACAATTTTTTCTCTCATCATCTATAACAGGTTTTTGTGGTTGAATGCCAATATGTCACCTATATTCTTTTCCCTTTAATTCCCTGAATTCCCTCATGTACCTTTTTAGATTCTTGTACATTCATATTCATCCTATCTGACACTAGTTTTCATGGTGTCACAATGGAGTGGTGATAGTATTGAAGGGAAAATACCACATAAGTTACGGAATATAAAATTTGTTTAGCAGCAAAGGATACAGAAATATATCCATATGGTGATAGTTGCACAAAAACAGAGGATGACATAGCATATTCTCATTTGATGTTGTAAGTTTTTCTGGCATTTCAGGGCCAATTAGCTGACAAAAGTAGCACCTGATCAGGATAAGGATCCCATCAGGTCACCTTTGTCATTCTTGGGTTGATAGGTGGATGGGGGAGAAG